TGGCGTTGTGGACCAGCCTCTGCTCCCAAGTGGAACTCAAGCCTCACAGACCAGTGGGGTTAAGGGCAGAGGGTTGTGGAGGAACTCAGAAGGGTGGGAGCTTGTCTGGGGAATGGAGGCAGTTTTGTGGAGGAAATGGTCTTGGAGCTGAGGAGAAGATTGCCAGGTGGAGTGGGGCAAGAATGTTTAAGGCAGAGGGAATGGGGTATGCAAAGGCCCAGAGGCATAAATGGGCTTGGTATGTAAGGAAAATAAGAAAGTTATTCAGGATGTCTGGAGTTTGGGCTGAGTAGAAGAGGGAAGAAGAATAGCATGAGCAGATGAGACAACATAGGTGGCTTGTGAACAGATAGTGAAGAGTGCCAGAATCAGGTCCACAAGTCTTCCCATGAAGAAGGAAAGCCATTGAAGAGTTTGTATAAGAGCAACAAGAGCAGATCTGTGAGTTCAAAGGCCCGTGGCTCCCACCCCTAGGTATGTGGAAAGGTGGACTGATTAGAAGAGGTAGAGACTGGAGGCTGGCTAGACCAGCAGGGAGGCTACTTCAGTAGTCCAGGTGAGAGATGAGGATGGGTCGAACCGGGGGTGAAGAAGTCTGGAATTTCTGGACACTCTCTCTGACCTGCCCCAAATCTAACAGGTCTCATCTCTCCATGGTAAGAAGTGAAGAAGACTGAAATTGTTGGGGCACTTCCCTTTACACGTTTGGTTGTATGTATGTTGGGGAGTGTCCTACAAGGCAAGGCTCACCCGGGCCAGGGGGCCTTCATCATGAATTCACATGCTAGCACCTTCTGCTTTAGTCTCTTTCTCACATTAACAGCCCACTGCAAGAGCAGAATAAAAAGCCAGAGCTCTACTTTCCAACACACACACCACCCCTACCCCCATCAGGAGAGTTGCAGAGGTGAGGGGCCCCAGATCTACCCTTATGTGTGGCAGGCAGGAAGGGAAGAGGGGATGCAGGGAGCAGGTCAGGGCCTGCTCTCTGTGAAAGGAAATATCCACCCTCCTAAGCCTTTAAGAGACTGTTTTCTTCCAAGTAAGTCCCGCTGTTACCAGGGCAACCGAGAGCCCTGGGCTTTGTGTTTCTGCCTTTGGAGTCCCTGGGGAGAAGTGGCCTGCTGAGCTTTCGCTGTCTGAGCAGGATGCAGGAAGTGCTGGCCGGAGGTGGAGCCCACCCCTCCGCTCATTTGGGGATAATCTCTTTCCTTGTTAATGCCTGTCCTTATCCCCTGGAGGAGTCCACTCCCACCCCCACCCTGGGAGCCAGTTCTGGTAATCAAGGGTACAGGCTTTGGCTCCAGTGGATCTGATCTCTGGGTCAGACTTCTGCACCTACCTTGTGACACATCTCTTCCAGGTGGCAGTTGTCCAAGAGGGTGAGCTCACATCAGATCATAGTACATACTGGGGGATCATTTTTCTCACTGTTTCCTGATCACTTACTATGTGCTGGAACTGGATCTCCAGATTGGTTCTTGCTCTGGAGAGCTCTATGGGAAGGTTCAGAACCAAACTGGCCGTTAAATGTCAACTGGGCTAGTTAGTACCCAAGGCTCTGTTCTGCACAGGGCCGGGCTAGGTTGAGTGTTAAAATTGCTCGGGGAGCTTATTAGAAAGAGAAATTTCTGGAAATTCTGATTCCCTCAGCTGGAAAGTAGAGGTTAGAGGGTGGAGGATAGAGATTAAGAGCATGGGTTCTGAATGTCAAACTACTGGGGTTCACAGTCGAAATTGGCCAATGGGGCAGGTGACCTTGAGCCTCTTGCCTGGCATCTCGGACACTGGTTTCCTCACTTACAGAATGAATGATGGGAACAGCCAAGCCTGCTTCACAAGCAGCATGATTTTCTCCATCTTCCTCTACTCCTTGAGGAGAGGGTTTTTAGGACCCTCACCATCCTTGTCACCCTTCTATGACCCCTTCTCCCTCCTGCTTTTTTTCTTTAATTCTGGTGTTTTCTTACTCACGCCATGCAATAGGGCTTCCATGAGTGCAACCTGGCCCCCTTCTGCTGAGCAGCCAGGACTCTACGTGGGACCTGCCCATCTCTAGGATCCCCCATTGCTGTGGCAGCAGCCTAGGAAAGCATGCACATGCCTGACAGCCACGTCAGTCTGCCGATTCAGACCAAGCCCCCATCAACTCACATCCTCAAATTTTCTTTTATTTTTTTGAGTTGGAGTCTCACTTTGTCGCTCAGACTGGAGTGCAGTGGCCACTCCCAGCCATCGCAGCCTCGACCTGCTGGGCTCCGGCGATCCTCCCGCCTCAGCCTTCTAAGTAGCCGGAACTACAGGCGCACGCTACTGCGCCTGGCTAATTTTTTATTTGACGAGGTCTCGCCAAGTTGCCTGGGTGGGTCTCAAACCCGCGAGCTCAGGCAATTCACTCACCTCAGCCTCCCAAAGTGCTGGGATTACAGGCTGAGCCACCAAGCCCGGCCAGATTTTCTTTTCATGAGCTGCTTCTTATTGTTTTTAAATTTTTTATTTTGAAAATGTGGGGTACAATTCAGGGTTAGGTATACAAATGGTCATTATGCATGTTTCCATGAGCTTCTTCTAAGTCATGACTCCCCTCACTCAGGCTTCTGCAGTTGCTTTTCTGAAGCTGACTGCAAGACCTCACACCAGCCCCTAGTAAATGTCATTTCAGTATATCCTTCCAGGTTAAGGAGATTGTTTTGGCTCCTGATTCCATCCTATAGTCTTCCAAGCTTCATGCCACCTGCAGACGCCCTTAGTAGGTTGCCTCCAGGTCTCTATCCAGAGACTCATTTATTCATTCATTTCTTCATTTATGTACAACTAGAGTTGAGAGCCTACTGTGTACTAAGTCATGTGCTGTGCCCCAGAGACTCAACAGTGACTAGACAGATAAGGAAGCCATAGCCTGAAAGGGGATGGGACTTATGCAAGATAGCATATAGTCAGTGGCAGGGCTGAATTGGAATCCAGGGTTCTTTTCCCTCCCCCCACAACTTCCGGCTGTAGGGTTGAGACATGGCCCTACTTCTCTTACTTTCCCCCACCTGCTCTATTTGGCCTTTATACAACCTGAACAAATTCACCCCTACCTGTGATGCCATGAGAAACCCCAGGGGTGCTGGAGACCTTGTCTGATCCCCAAAGCATAACCAGGAGCCCCAGTGCTCACTGATGAAGCCTGCAGCCCCATAACCCTGTCCCTCCCCAAATGAGGCAGTCAGCCACATACTCATCACTGCCACTAGCCTTCCTTACTCAGCATGCTCTTCCCTGCAGGGCAGAACTGCCACCCGACTGAGTCCCCCAGAGCCTCCAGAGATAGTGCACCTGAGGTGTACTTTGTTGCTTTGGCAAAGACCCAGAATCCAGTCAGGTTGAGGCTTGAGTGTGTCAGGATCCTCTCCTGGAAGACAGCATGGTGTATTAGTTGAGAGAGTATGGGTTTGGGAGTCACAGACCCAGAGTTTCCCCACGGAACCTAGATTCAGGTCCCTCAGCTCTAAAAGTAGAAACCATTACCTGCCTCACTGAATTGTTGTGGCAATGAAATGAGATGATGTTGGCGAAAGTGCCTAGCATGTGGTCAGAAACACAATGGTTTCCTCCTTCCCTCCCTTCCTTTCTCTTAAAGGGGTGAGGCAAATATGGCTCTGAAACCAGGTTTTGTTTCTCCACTGAAATCCTGCAAGCTGGGGCGGTAGGACAATGCAGAACCAGGAGACTAGCCTGGTCTGTAAGGCAGTAGGGCCCTCAGAGTGGGGACAGAGAGGGGCTAAGTGTCCCCAGAGCTAATGGACAACTGCAGAGCTCTGAAGGAGCCACTCACTAGCTGTTACCATGGGCCAGTGACTTCTCTCTAAGACTCAGTGTCCTCATTTTTAAGACGAGGGTAAGAATAGTGCCTGCCCCCGGTATTATTATCAGGATGAAATAAGATAATGGTTGTGAAGTGCCTGGCATGGCACTAGTAACTAGTAGGGGCTCAATGAGCATTTCCACTCACTTCCCCAGGAAAAAAATAATGTCCAACTCATGCTGGGAAGTCTGGGCAAATCCCACAGTGGGATTCAGTTTCTTTTGACCCCACAGTCTGTGAGTAGTGAAGTCTTGCTGGGAGGGCCTCTACAGGGACTGCGCTGAGGACTGGGGTTTCAAAATCTTCCCTGGCCAGCTCATTGGCATCCCATAGCGTCACCTAGTGCCAGCAAGTGGAAGTGCCTTCCCTGCCCACCCTGGCTGGCCTCCCTCCCTTCAAAGTCCTAAAGGGGTGCGTTCGTGCCTGTGCATGTGCGTTTTGGGGGGAAGGGGCACTATACAAGGTCTCGCCCAGTGTCCTGGGCTGGTCTCAAACCCGCAGTCTCAGGCCGTACACTCACCTCGGACTCCAAGGGGCCGGTATGGCAGGCTGAGCCCCTAAGCTCAGCCTGTGGTTGTGGTGGTTGTGGTTGGTATAGGTAGGACTGGCCACCCATACTCCTAGTAAGTAGAGAACTAATGCTATTTTTTTTTTTTTGAGTTGGAGTCTCACTCTGTCACCCAGACTGGAGTGCAGTGGCCGCTCCCGGCCACCGCAGCCTCGACCTGCTGGGCTCCGGCGATACTTCCACCTCAGCCTTCCAAGTAGCTGGAACTACAGGAGTGCACTACCACGCCCAGCTAATTTTTGATTTATTGTAGACATGAGGTCTCGCCAAGTTGCCCAGGTGGGTCTCGAACCCATGGGCTAAGGCAGTCCACTCACCTCGGCCTCCCGAAGTGCTGGGATTACAGGCTGAGCCACCGAGCCCGGCCTAATACTATTTTTCAAGATGCCCACTGCTTTCACTTCCCTCCCAACAGTTTCTGCCATCCACAAATGCATAGGACTGTAGGCAGGTCCCTTGAGCCTCGCTGGGGCTTAGTTTCCTCATCTAAGGATTTCAAGACTTCAGGCTGGTGTTAATTGAGGTAGGAAGCCTTGGCAGTACCCCATGCCTATGCCTGCTTAGTAATGGAGAGACACAATCTTTACACACCCTTTATGTTTTTATTGAGGAGAGAAAGCTTTAGCATACAGAGCAATTTCTTATCTTCACAACACAGTAATGCAACAATAATACAGTAACACATTTATTTCAAACAAGTTTCCTTCCAAGCTTCTGGGAATCCTTGGGCTGCCATCATACCCCTCTGCATGCATCCCCTCCCCCCACCCTCTTTCAACCCAAGAAAGTGCCCAAAGCCCATAGTTCCTCTTACAGCTCTTGTGGCTGTTACATCACAACAAATATTGAAGATCTGGGAAATGGGGAAAGAGGGTCAGAGGGAAGCCCAAGCCCCTCCTGCCCACAGGGCACGGGAAACCAGCTCACTGCTCATCCACTCTATCCCTAGCTGAGTCTCCAAGGGTTCAGGGTGAGAAGCGCCATGGAAACAGGCAGGGCCTGTGCTGTGGGCTCCCTGGAAATGGGGGTGCAAGGCACCTGTCCTTCACACTCCTCCACAGGTACATGAAGCAGCAGGGCCAGCAAGTTGACCATAAGCAAACGAGTCCACAGCCTCGAATAACAGCAGTTCTCCTTCTGGAACGTTCTCGTGAGGAAATGAGCTGAAAGACAACATTTTTCTTTACAAGGTTGTTTACTCCTGCCTTGGTGGGGATGAGGAAAATCAGACAATTGAAATGCCAAAAAAATCAGGAGAATGCTTAAATAAAGTATGCAGTATGCATGACTGCACAGGTGGTAGCCATTTTAAATCCTGCTGAGCAAATGCTAGCAGGATGATCTCAGCTTTGAGAAGACACAGCAAGAACACACTAGAAAGTCAACAAAGCTAATAGTGCTTGTGTCTGTGTGGTAGGACTCTGAATGTTTTGGGGGGGGTTGTCTTTATGGTTTCCTCTGTTTTCCAAGTTTTCATAATGATTATGTGTTACTTTCCTCTTTGGAGAGGGAGAACTTTTTAAACAGTAACAACAGGCTACAGGAACCCAACTCCACTGATTCCTGAGACTGAGAAACAAAAGCCATAAACAAAAGGGCATCTTACCTCCCACTGATGAAAAAAGATCTCACCAGAAACCAGCCAGAGGACTGAGTTTCTCTGTGACTCCTCTTCCTCCAGCTCCTTCCTTTGGCTTCCCGTCCCCAAATCATCAGGCTGGGCTGAGGTCATCTGTCAGACTCCGGTGAGGAGCAGAGGTTAAATTTACTGTTTTCTTCCCTCTGTCTGGCCACAGTCATCGGCTGCACTTGCCCAGCTGCCACGTACTATGCAGAAAGTCCAGTGTCCAGAGGCAGCTCAGGCCAGCAGTGGATTTGGCTGGCGTTTTGTGGCCAGAACTGACATAGTAAATGTGTGTTTTTCACTGCAGAAGCAGTGTTTTCTGGACCCAAGCAAGCAGCAAGTCTCTTTATAAGGGCACCAGGGTTTGTACCCAAAAGTCTCAGGAGTTCCTAGGCTGCCACCCTCTTAAGCCTCACTGACTAATCAAAGCACAGCAGCAGGTCAGGGGTTGACTCCCATGTGAGAGACATGAAGGTGTCTCACCTGCAAGGTTGCAGTGGGTGCAGTCTCTGTGGAGCCAACTTTCCTCTCTTGACTCCAAACTAAGGAATCCTTGAATTGAAGGGCGTTAAAGAACAAGCCGTGGGTCCTCTCTCTCTTTGGCTGTCCAGGAAGGAAAGGCCAGGTAGGCCTCCTTCACAACCCCAAAGATGGAAAGTCCCCTGTAAAAACCTTAGACTGAGGGCTGCAGTCCAAGGCCTGGCAGGGCGAGGAGACCACAGTCCTTAATCACTCCTTGCAATGACAGACTAAGGTGTTGCTACTTCTTTCTCCTCCTGCACCCCCACCCCCAACTGCCTATTCTTTAGGCACCATCAAGGAAAGGGGTAGAGCCTGCAGCGTTGAACACTGTCCACCAGGGATGCCTAGGAGGGCAGTGTGGTGAGAGGAGAGGGCCCAGTTTGGCAGGCCAGTCCAATGCCCTGATACAGGAGTCTGTACTAAGGTAAACCCAAGTGCTGGAAGTGAAACCAGCTTGCACAGTTAGTCAAAGACAAAGTCAGTCAAATTGTCCATCTGACATGTGGCTTTGCATACTCTCACTAGGCGAGATATAGGGTTCTCTTCTAGGCCCTTCTGCTGGAGGCATGGCATGAAACAAGTATAGGTTTCTAGGGACATTTGTTGATACCATCCTGCTCATCATTGATTATGTCTAGTAACTGGCCTCAGTGACTTTAGGAGTTCAGTGTAGCCTGTCCTCATGATCATTGGGGCAGATCCGTGAGGCATTGGGTGAAGTCCTGGTGAGCCAGTCAAAGGATAAAACTGTGGAACATGGGCGAATAAATGCAGGAGAGGTGAGGATTAGGAACAACTAAAGGGAAATACAAGAGGGTGACCAGTTCAATTATGGGAACAGTCCAGAAACCTGCTCTCCAGCAGAATACATGCCGAGAGGTCAGCTATTGCTGATCCCTCCTTTCCCAGGTGGTCCTGGTTGAGCACATGTTACTTTCGTCACAGCTGCAAGATGGTGGAGTTCTGCAGGTCTTCTTCAGGTTCTGCAGATCTGAACTCCCTGAAGTGCTGGTCAGCAGATCAGATGGGGCAGGTGTGGCAGCAATAGCAGGGGCAGGGGATACAGAAGAAGGGTGTGTTCCAGGTGGCCATCTGGCCCCAGTACTTACACACGGATTCGGCCACGAGCAGCTCGGTGGCCCCCCTGTCTCGGAGTGAGGCGGAACAGCACCGGGGGGCGTCTTCGAATTTGGCGTTGCCCCAAGCGACTTGCGCGACGAATCAGGGGTGGCGAACTGTAGAATGGTGAATTGGTACCTGGAAGGCCCTCCAGAAGAGGGACTCGATTCTGGTTCCTCCGTCTGCCAGGCTGTATTATGGGAGGCGATGTGCCCAGGAAATTTTCGGCATGGTAGCCACTTGTGGGGCCAGAAGTCTGGGATGAAGCATGGCCAAAGGTTGGCTCCATCTCCATCAGCTCGTCTAGATCACCATCTTGGGCCGCATCCTGGGACTCCCCCTCCACCTCACCATAGGTCTCCTCTGTCTCTTGCTCCTGCTCTGGCTCCGACTTTGGCTCCTGCTCTGGTTTCTGGCCCCCATCCTCATCTTCATCTTCTTCCTCATCCTCATTATCTTCTTGATTCTTATTTTTCTTCCTTGTCTCCTCCTCCTCTTTCTGTTTCATCTCCTCTCCCTCTTCCTCCTTCTTCCTCATCTCTTCTTCTTTCTTCATCTCCTCCTCCTCCATCTTACTCGTCTCTTGCTGAAAAGCCCTCACGCTCCTCCGCTGGTCCTTCGGGTAAAACCTGCGCTTGCGTGCTTCTTGCTCTTCATCCTCACTGTAGTACTCTTCATCTTCACTTTCATCATCATTAGGGCTAGGAGCAAAAGGGAAGAAGATATTGCGAACCCCAGGGAGTGGGATTGGCTTGGGGACGCGCACTTTTCTTTCTATCTCCACACATTCGAGAATCAGCTCATCCAGGTCAGCCATTTCAGTTGACCATAAGAGCTCCTTACGGAAGAATTCCGACAGGCCTTTGAGGAATTGGTTTTGGAGGCGGCAGTCATCCCAAGACAAGAATTGGGCCAGGAACTGAAAAGCATCTGCATAGCTGCCGAGAGTACAGTCTCCCTGCTTGAGCTTGCGGATGGCCTTTTTAGCCACACGTGGGGGGATGGGGCCACAGAATTCCTTACGAATTTCATCCAGGAAGCGCGGGAAGTTGGCATGCAGGGGGCTTCCTTCCTGGGTGACCGAGATGGCCCAGTCCTTGGCTTCGCCAGTGAAAAAGGAGACCAGAAAGGCCACCCGCTCGGCGCCCCCGGGGAAATGATCCTCATGGTCGGCTATGAAGGTTTCTAGCTGCATCAGGAATTCGGCCAGGTAGACCGGGTCGCCTGAAAAGGGCTCTATCTCAGGCCGCTCCAACGGCGGCTGAGGGGGCTGCGGGGGCGGCTCCTTTGACGCAGGCGGGGGCAGCGCCGGTGAGGACGGGCTGGGCAGCAGAGGAGGGTCGGTGGGCCCGTCAGGGGTGCTGCAGTCCTGGATCACGTTAATCAAAAGATCATCCGAGACATACTCGGGCTCCGTGCGCGGGGGAGGCCAGCACAAGAAGGGCAGTTCTCCCTCCGGAACGGCGTCGATCTCACTGAGCGGGAACTCAAAGTTCTCCTCTGCAAGGACGGGCACTATGGGCACTGGCCAGCGGATGTAGCTCGAGACATTGCCCCGCAAGGAATTAACCTCGGCCAGAGCTCTTCCGAGCTGAAGGCCTAAATTGGCATTCTCCCCGCGAAGGACATTTAATTCTTCGCGCAGGGCTACATTCGCCATGCGGAGGCTGTTGAGATTTCCTGCCGCCTCGGACATCTCGACTAGCTCAGGGGCCCTGGGCGGGCGGGGCGCTACGAGCCGCGGGGTGGGGAGGGAGGCCGAAGTGCGGCGGCGGGGCGCGGGAGAGGCCGGGCCACACCCACCGGGGCGATGGCTGGGGGCAGAGGGCCCCGTGGTTCG